TGACTGCTTCGATTACGGTTCACGTTAAAAGACCCCAAATGATTGAAGTTTCCTGGGCCCTCAACTACGGCGTCTTTCATAATCATATGGTGGTTTGGGGACGTTAAACTCCGCAACCTATAATTATTATCATAACGACAGAGTTAATGAATACACAATTAACATGAACAAGGACATAAAATGACATCTTTATGCGCACTGCAGAGCCCGCGAAATTTGCTCCAAGGTTTCACGATGTAAAGAAACTGAGAAGGAGTAAAGATGAAAAGGCATGAGGACCTTTAGAAGCTTTTTTTATCACCAGATATGGTGGTTATATTGTTAGTCAGACGTCTGTTGCCTTGTTTGCCTCAAAAAATTGATTTTTTCACTCGTACTTTTGACGTGTAATTTTCGCTTACCACCCCCTATAGCCCGCTGGATGTAAGCCTCAAATCTGCGTGGTTGGAACATTTAATCTTTGTGTAATCCACTTTCCATTGACGTCATTAGGAGCACGTTTGGTATGTAGTTTTCTGTCGGCGTTGTGTTTTATCCATAACAAGCCCAAGAACAAGTCATTCTGCAGAAACCTGTTCTGCGCACGTGCATAGGCTCACATGAAGCATAGGCTCACATAGAGCGCATAGGCTCACCAAAAGCCTATGATCTAGCCGGTAGAGGACACACGAAGAGAAACAGTCACTATTTTTCAGTAATAAGCATGGAAGGTTCGGAAGGTTTTCTAATACTATATGCCTATTCTTTTCGATGTGATACACCTTGACTAGTACGTCTTTAATCTTTCAGTCTTTCATTTTGTCCGGTCGAGAATGCTGGTATAGCGCCCCACCGCGGTGGTCTAGTGGCTAAGGTACTCGGCTGCTGACCCGCAGGTTGCGGGATTGAATCCCAGCTGTGGCGGCTGCACTTCCGATGGAGGCGGAAACGCTGTAGGCCCGCGTGCTCAGATTTCGCTGTGCGTTAAAGGACTCCGCGTGGTCGAAATTTCCGGAGCGCTCCACTACGGCGTCTCTCATTATCATATGGTGGTCATGGGACGATGGACCCCACATATCGTTCAACCCCACATATCAATCAATGCGGGTATGGCGTAACAAAGACTTCCAACCATTGTGAGCTTTTGTTTTGCAATGCTCTATATAACTTGATGTGTGCGCATCAGGCCTTAGTTTAAAGCACTCCCCTGAGGTTTCTAAAGGCGATTTTGTCCTTTACACCCACAATATCCGATTTTGTGAAACGTATAATTGCTGAATTTTGTATAAATATGCTGTGCAAAACTTGTCACCATGTCATGTCGATATGCCTGATGGAGCAGGTGGATCGGCTGAAACCATGTATTTTCATACCATCCTTCGCAATATCGGTTGGTGAAATGCTCACCAGAAAAAGTAAGAAAATCTTATGGTCGGCCACAAGATAAAACAGCAAAAAACATCGAGATAATGCGTGTTTTCACACGATGTCTCACGGGCTGAAACAAGCATCGCGAAAGTTCTATGCGAACCAAGTGTTTTCAGCCCCACGCAAGATTTCTGGCCTTCACGCCTGTATATAGGGTGACGAGAACGATTTAGTCTAGAAGACTGGTCAGAGAAATGTTTTCATGAAATGTAGATTTGGAGTACTTTATTCTATTCATACGACTTGTGGGCACGTTTATACCGGCGAAACTGGGAAGTGTTTCATATGAAGGATTGCAACGGTTACAAGCCACTGTTTCGCCAAACCTGAATACGAGGCAGGGTAAAATAAAAAATTGAATGCTGACTACTTGATGCCCGACCTGTCAAAATATTGGGCACGTTTATAATAGCAAACATTCGGTGCATATCCCAGTAAAAGAGGGGGATGCTTCTCATCACGGTATTGATGGCTATCGAAGTGGTGCTAGGTCTCAGGTTGTAGCGAGTGCTCGCGGAAAGAATATGGAGTGTAGGTACACGTCGATGCTTGAACAAATTATTTGTAGGTCAAGCAACAGTGAGTGCTAGAACGTGCGTACTTCTGTGTGCTTTTTTTCAGTTTTGGTGGTTTTTCTCGCTTTTAGACAGCGCACGACAAAAGCAGGGAACTCGGTTGGGCTGGCTGTGACGATATACCTCATCAATTAAATTAAACAATGTTTTTACATTTGATACTTGAGGCCGGCCCATGGGCTTGAATAAATGAATGATGCTTCTATTCAAAGTGCGCGCACATGGGAGAAAAGAATTTTTCAATATGGTAGTCTTATTGTTGTTGCATGGATAGTTTCTACCTAAATGTGCTCCAGATTTTATTTCTTAAGAGCTACGCCATTATTCCGCCCGGCGCAATACCACAAATTGGCAGATCCCACGTACAATAAAAATGAATGATATGTGAAGCTGGAATCAGGAAGGTTGGTATGTCACTTCAAAATCTTCGAAACATTTCGAGGTAGTCGTAAACTTTGCCTTACATAATTTCTCGTCATCATTATTATACTTGGACGTGTCATTTACCTTCCTAATTTATTCCCCTCTCTTAATACCAAGTTTAGTATATGTGGCGCTAGCGAAGCGGCCACGAGCACGCTATGAGTGATACATGTTGCCGTGTTTTACACGACACGCATATAATGAATTGAAGTTTGGACGTGTCATTGACCTTCACCATCCATTAACGTTGCGTAATTCTTATGTATGTATAGCTAGAAAAACGGCCGTGACCATGCTATGATCTTAGCATATAGTCATGTTTTACATGTCAAGCATATCATGATTATCATGTTTAGGCGTGTCATTTATCTTCGTCATCTATTATTGTCAAGTGGTACAACTTGATATATGTGGAGCAAGTAAGTGGCCGCGAGTGCATCATAAGCGTGGCATATTGACCTGTTTCTACATGAAACACATGTAACCATTATCAAGTTTACACCAGTCATATACCTTGATCGTTCATTCACGTCACGTAATTCTAAATTTGGTGTATTTGAAGTTAGCGAAACGGCCGCGAGCGCACTATGAGCGTAACATGTAGTCATGTTTTACATGACACTAATGCCATGATTATGATATATCGACAAGTCGTTTACCTTCGTCGTCCCTTCACGTTACGTAATGCTAAACTTCGTATATGTGTATCTTGCGATACGGCTGCGAGCGCATCGTCAGCGTGGCATGTACTTCTGATGTTACATGACCCACATCCCCTGATTACCAGGTTTCCGCCAGCCTTATACATTCGTATCTATTCACGTCCTGTAATGCGAAATTTATTATTCGTGAACGTAGTAGAATGGCCGCAAGCGCATCATAAGCGTGGCATGTAGTCATGTTGTTCCATCACGCGCGTGTCATGATTATCATGTAGATGTGTTATTTATCTTCGTTGTTCAATTACACCACGTAATACCGAATTTGGTATATGTGAAGGTAGCTTAACGGCCGCGAATGCATCATGAGCCTGGTATGCTGTCATGTTGTTACCGGACACACATGTCATGATTATCATATTTGCACCAGCCACATACCTCCGTCATCCATTCTCGTCCCATAAACCAAATTTGGTATATATGAAGCTAGACAAACGGCCGTGAGCGCATCATGAGTGTTGCATGTATTCAAGGTGTCACATGAAACGCATGTGATGATTATAATGTTGGGACGTGTCATTTACTTTTGTCGCCCATTGACATCCTGTATTAGCAAGTTTGATTTATTTGAAGCTAGCGAAACGGCCGTGAGCACATCTGGAGCGTGGCACGTAGTCATGTTGTTACATGACACGCATATCATGATTATCATGTGTGGACGTGTGATTTACCTTCGTCGTTCATTCGCGTCACGTAATACCAAATTTTCCAAATGTGAAGCTATCAAATTGGCCGCGAGCGTACAATGAGCATGGCATGAAGTCCCGTTGTCACATGACAGGCATATCATGAATACCTTGTATGTTGACATGTTCTTATACTACACGCATGTCATGATTATCATGTCTGCACCACTCTAATACCGAATTCGGTATACGTGAAGGCAGCGAAAGGGCCGTGAGCGCATCATCATTGTGGCATGTAGTCATGTCGACACATGACACGCGTGTCATGGTTATCATGTTGTGACGCGTCATTTACCTTCATAGTCCGTTCGCATCACGTAACACAAAATTTGGTATATATGAAGTCACTTGTATTCTTGCTGTCATGTCATACCATACTACTTTTTCAGCATTTCATGTAAAGGAAACCACAGCAAGAGCAGCAAGATTATGAAATGAATCATGACATGCATGCCATAAATTTCATTTTATGACGAGTCAGCTATGCTCATCATACAGCCCTATTAGGCCATATAAATTTTCGTATCGATATCAATTTACGCATCCCATCATCGAAACGACCCGTAGGGCTAAATGTCGTCGGTGGATAGATAGATAGATTAGATAGATAGATAGATACATACATACATACATACATACATACATACATACATACATACATACATACATACATACATACATACATACATACATACATACATACATACATACATACATACATACATACATACATACATACATACATACATACATGCACACATGCACACATACATACGCTCAGAGTCACCGACGTTTGCAGAGAAACTCGTCGCATTTAAAATGGGTGGCTGTACACAATACCTTCAGCCCCTCCACGGGAAGTGAATGGTGGCATGAAATTTGTCCTTTGACCAGGTCTGCTTTCTAGCAACACCCCCGTGGTTTTATTGTGCTCTTGACAGTGACAATGAATCTACAAAGATGCCTTGATCCTCAATAATAAATTGGAATTCGGCATTTGGCTTGACCATTGAGGTATTACTGAAAACAATTCGTAGGTTCATACGAGTTACTGTGATGAAAGGACAAACTTCCCTCTCTATTATGCGTCTATTGTAAATACTTGACACTTTTGATTTTCCGTTTGATCAACCAGGAAACGTTCAATAAACTGATAATGAAAGAACACCGCAACTTTCTTTCTATTTCAGACACTGCTAATCTGTATACAACTGAGAGCTTGTACAGTGACTTCGATACATGTTCCGTCTTCAAGTTACATGGCGAAAACAAAAGTGAGTATGCAGTGTTCCGACTGGCAGCGCAGTACAGAAAAGAAGCAGAAAAAAAACTAAGTTACCACTAAATTCCTAATTATGAAAACTTCACTCACATTTTCCTTTGTTATTTCAAGTGGGATACCTTGAGTCATTGTGCCACAAAATATAGCTTCTTGTATCATGGCTGACTCGCAAGCAACGATTGGCGCTTGAAAAAATCCGCAGTCCCCACTAGGAATATTCTAATTCTAGGAGCGTACTAGAAACATTGTGCCCAAAAATTGAGTGTGTAAACGTTTTCGTACTGTGAGTACGTTGATGACATATGAATAACTTCAATTTACCCATGAGAAATTGGCACAAAAGAAACAGAAGGGAAGGTATAACTTGTTGTGAAGTATGTATAGGTGCATTTACGTATCATCAGAATCACATGTTTGCCGTCGAGGTGCCTTATTCTTTTATAGTAGAATAAACTCCAAAGTTGCCTAATCGAGCTCAAAGAGAATAACATTGTAGAGTGATTCAGGCGCTATCATATGACAGCGGAAGCGGGCGCTATCATATGACAGCGGGCGCTATCATATGACAGCGGGCGCTATCATATGACAGCGGAGCCATAGCGACAGTTCAGATGCACTGCCGGTGAGAGATGGCATGATCTCAGGTTAGGGTGGATCTTTCTCAACCCGTGAAAAATAAACGCCTGAATATTTAGTCTCAAACCTTTAGGACCGATCAACTTTTGCGGTGTTATAAAAGTGGATTATATGTAATAGTCAGGACAATGATTCTTTTTATACATGGACATGTTTTTGTGCAAGTTAAACGTGTCAAAGTGTGTGAGTTGCCTAGAATCAAGACGAGGATCATACAAAGCAAAAATTATCCATCAATATGTCCGGCACGAAAAACTATGCTTCGAGCAAAAATAGTTTGGATAACTATAGGCTAATTTCAGATATAATAAAGCAGCAAAAAGACAGCATCCAAAACAATTAGTTTCTAAACAATGAAACACAGTTTAAAAACAAAATTTTTAGGAAATTGTGATTGATTGTACATAGGAATGTAAAAAAGGACAGTGAGCCCAATTTTACAGATATGTCTGCATCGGAAAGGCGGTTGCCCTTTTCGCGGGCCACAGAGTAGAAAACAAAGAACTCCTTATAAGTATTTTAAAGGTTTCAACATAAACGCTACAGTCTCCAGATTTTTCATTGTCTGTAAAATTCAAAACTTATCACGCTCTTAGCACTGCCCCTACTTTTTATCTGGGCGTTTTTTCTTTGTGTGTGTGGATGTGACCGTTTTTTTCCATCTGTTCAGTGCGCAAGAATGACTGCCGAGGAGACTTTCGGTTAAAATAGAAGAGACGACTAGTTAGCCTGGTAGTCTAACTTCATGTCTGAAGCATTCATAGATTTTATTTTGGCTGTATGCTCAAACATAGTTTACAGGCCTCAGAAATTCAAACGCCCCCTTTAGTAGGCGCAAACATGCACATTCCTGTGCTACTTTCTCAAGTTTTGTAGTTACCCTTATGCGCTGCAACTGCTGCCTTTTGCAGCCACGCCAATTGACTAGGAACCATTGAGATAATTATAGCACAAGCCTATCGAATTACACGCAAACCAATGGCATTACAAGTATTTCTGGATCCTATGTTGCTGGCAGGTATAAAACTGGAATATTTGACGGCACATGCATACATGGAGATGCCCGTACCCACGTGTCAGTTTAGCGACGGCTGACGCTCGATTGATATGATTGATATGTGGGGTTTAACGTTCTGAAACCACCATATGATTATGAAAGACGCCGTAGTGGAAGGCTCCGGAAATTTTGACCACCTGGAGTTTTTTAACGTGCACCCTAAGTCTGAGCACACGGGTCTACAACATTTCCGTCTCTATCGGAAATGAAACCGCCGCAGACGGGATTCAAACTTGCGACCTGCGGGTCAGCAGCCGAGTACTTTAGCCCCTAGAACACCACGGCGGCGCGACGGCTGATGCTCTGTTCCCCGCCATCAGTGCGAGTGTGTAATGCTGTAGTACACCCTTCAGTTTGCCCGGCCACAAGTTACACGATATGAAGAATTTCTTCTTTGACACGCTGACTGTTGCCAACAATGACGTGGAATCTGAGGAGTACTTCTCAGTCAATGTATCAAACGTTCCCCTCCAGCTGTGAGCGAAGCCCACACTGTCGAGGGGACATCGACGCTGATGCTAAGCAGCGAGTAAGCCCCCAGCGACAAGGTCTCCCACCAGAGTAGGCGCCAATACCTGAAATGACCCAGAAGATCAAGGCCATGACCTCAACTGCCGCAACGACCATAGCCGCTGCGCCGCTGCCCGCGACTGCGATGCAGCAGCCAAAGGAGTCACAATTCTTTCGGGGATAATTCCCAATCGTTCGGTGATCTTTAGAGACTGAATTATTGGCAAACACCTATTTAGTTTTTTGAATTCCTATCAAGACACTTTGTACGTGAGCTTGAAATAGAGGTTAACAAAATCTTCACTAGTGTTTTACACTGCCTATAAATGCCTATTTCCTAAGTTTGTGGCTGTATTTTATAGGTGCCTATAAAGGCCTATTTTCATAATTGGTGCTTATATGAACGCATTTTACCTCATATTTTGCTTTAGAGCACAGTTGGAGACCGGTGTTTATGTTACTAGACAAAACTGAACTTTTGGAACTCTATGGGGTGCAACCTATACTGCATATATTAGCTCCTTTCAGCACTAGTGTCTGGTCCATTAGACCTCTTTGCCAATAGGAAGGTCAATTAGCCTCTATAAGTGCAATGATATCTCCGGCGTCTGCTCCCATGCGTACGGACAGGAGGTGCTTCTGTGCTTCTGGTGCAGGACGATGAAAGTTGCTTCTGGTGCAGGACAATCAAAAACGAATTGTAGAGTGTCATCAGAATTGTAGAGTGTCATCAGGGAAAGTATAGTGTAGATAAAGAAAACAGTTATTGGCGTGGATTTTTGTTTTGTTTGTCATTACTCTTCAACGGGGCATCACTGGGTTTCATGAGAACGTCTTCTTGGGCACTGGAAGTTGTCACGTGCACCGTTGTAATTATTAATTCGTTCATTACACTCTGCTAAAGCATGGGGAGAAAAGGTGAACTTGCAAACATTTGCCACTGACCTGGTAGGTATAGACTTCGCAAGCCAAATTTATTCCATGCCCTCTTAGCTGCCAGAGCAATTAAATTGCAACACAGTGTAATTGCAACCATTCCCTGCCCATCATCGTTCATAGAAAATATCAATAAGCACTTTCTATGTTAAATCTTTGGCTTCTATGTTTTGTCTTTATAATTACCCACCCAATATGTAATACCCCCTCGCGGGTCTTTAAGGCAATAAAATGAAATGTAATGAAATGAAATGAAATTTGAAGCTCGAAGTTCACACGACTCAGACGCCTGAACACGTCATGGGCATGCAAGGTTACATTCACATGACATGCCCTAGCCAGATCATGCACTCAAGCAGTGTTGTGTCGTTTCGATCGTTTTCGGTATTGTTATACCTGTTTGTGTTGTATGGATCCCTCTATGCATGCACGTGTGGAAAGGCTGGCATGGATGATGCATCCCTACCACGATACACAGCGAGACACCTGCTGGAATCGCTCTAACAGAAGATCTTGCAAAAACATGCCAAGTGTTGTAAATGCTAGCAAGGACACGATGCGAGAACGGTGAGAACGCCAACGCAAGTGAAATGAAAGCAGCTTAGCCTCGCATCTTGTTCGATGCGAAGATATAAAAAAACGCACATTGGTTTTGTTCGCATGTTTTATATTTTTGTGAACCTTCATACTTCTATTCAGGCGAGAGATGGCACAAAAGGCACCCATCGCCTCGAATTCTTCTCGCAGTGTCACGTACTACTTTGACGTACGCAGGACCATTCTTTGTATACATCACCTTCAACATGCTGGGCGCGTGCCTTAAGATGAACATCAAGTGGCATTCAGTCGGACATTTCAACTCATTCAGTGGCATAAAGCTTTGCAAATCTTCGCGGATCAGATCGTGAGCGCCAGGCGCATGCATTCATCTTGCCTGCTAGAAATTATCAAACCTTGTGAAGGGCCCTTTAAGGTGTTCTCAGACGTAGAAGAAATCAACCCTGTGCGGTTATACCCAGTAATTACAAAGCAAAAAGACCCTTCTGTTCTATTAGAGCTCGGACTACTGGCTTCTGTGTGGTCCTTCTCAGCCATGCCAAAAAGAAAGAGACCCAGAAGCGTGCTGATTCGACGTTAGATTCTTAGCTCTCAATGCTGGGCTAGCAAAGAACAGGCCGTATACTGCAATTCCCTGCGGTGAAAAAAGCACGGCTATCCTCATGCATTGGCGCCCTTAAACCAGCATAAACAAAAACATTCCTTTTTGCTTTCCTGTCGTAGACGCAGATCCTACAAGTATTTCTTCGAAAATTCCAATTTAGATAAAGTTTATTAGGCGTATATTTAAAATTTTTGAGGCCTACACGAGTTTTTCGCCCGCCAGTTTTCGGCGCCCAAAACCCGGTATTTCAGTGCCTATAAATCCAGCCTTTAGTGATCATTCTGTGCGGACGCATAAACGAAGTCCGGGTCATACGTGAAGACTTCGGCCCTCAACAATTGGGGCCTGAACGACAAGTACCGCTTTGTGTGCTTTGCGTTGAAATGCAGTGCTAGGACGTGGTTCGAGGGTAGTAAATCTACCATGAAAGCCAGGAACACCTGCCTGGTCAACTTCGTCGTAGCGGCCGTAAGCACGGGTGTGAACCTAAAGGGCCACCGCTTCACTGGAAACATGGATCTACCTGCTGAACGAAAACGCAACAATATTCGTGGAAATGAGGACACGACTCTTTCACCACAACGACCCCGACAGGTTTGAGAAGAAGAATGTGTGCTTCCCCACGTGGGGAGTAAAGAAGGAGCTCATTGCCGGGCTGATGCAAAACTCACAGAAAACTCTCCAGGAAGTCCTTCAAAGGGCATTGCTATAAAAATACACTACAAATGTGCATGCGACAGTTCAATTACAACTTTACGTCAAGCTACGCCTAAGTCTAACCATTCTGCTCCTGCAATTTCAGCGAAACCATAAGGACCGTACAGCAGAGAGAGCTTCGTCAAACGCTTTAGCCATGCCAACCACAAGTTTCCTCAAAGAGCAAAGCGACCGTTCGCAGGGCATCCCTGAATCAGTGCGACCGCAACCACAAGCTATGAACTACGCTGCGGCAGCTCTACCACCAGACACTATGGCCGCCACCACCGACGTCATCCCGTCCACCAGCCGGCAAGCAGTCCACGCCTAGGAAGACCAACGTTTGGCGTTTGACGTGCACCCGACCACCACCCAATACGCTGTGACTGTGTAGAATCAGGCCCATATATCGCTACTGTCAACACCATCAATGAGACTGCGTGGCTTCACCTCTAACGCGCCGCGTGCGCAGCCAGGTGAACGGCCACATTACATCGTTGGCTACATAGCAGGAGCGCAACGGACACCTCGAACGCCTTTCCGACCACCATCCCCAGGTGGCTACGTCTCTTCCCAACGCCGTGTATACGCTGGCCCTAGCCCGTTTTTTTTTCATATTTGCCTTTTGTTGTTAGCGAATGATCCTGGTAATAAAAAGGTCATTAAAAAAGGTATGTATGAAGTGCAGTAAATATTCACATTAGTGTGGCACACTTCAATGAGCTCAATTTGGTGAATCAAATATTCTCCAAGGTCGTATTATATGAACGATTTCGGCTGATATATGAATTTGCTCGTAAACTAAAAAAAAAACAAGTCACTCAAAGTATTTTCTCTGAAAGAGGAAGAGTGGGAAGACAACAATTGTGTTTTCGTAGCATTGCCTACTATATATTACAGTACTATTGTTGTTATGCTAATGCGTTGAGCGTGATTGACTACATGTTGTAATAACCCATATGTTTGGTTTCAGAATGTGTCATGTGGGTAGCAAGAGGCTCAGAGGATGAGATACCCGACCTGTGTCTTCACCAGTTCAATTGTGCATGTGGTCCCGCTATTCCACTCTATATCCGACACATTTGTAAGAATACCGAAGACAGTCAATAAAACATGTAAGTATGCACTGTCATCGCAAATAAAGCTGCGAGTACAATTTAATATCCCCACGTCTCTTTTACTGAATCATCGATACCTTATTTCTCTGTTTCTTGCAGTTGAAGACATTGTTTAGTTGATGAACTTGCTGCCAAAAGCTTTCCTGATATCGGAGTGTGAGGGATTTTTTCAAGGCTGACTGCGGGGTATTTATCGCAATGGCGTTGGTAATAAACTTTGAATGAGTGCATATGTATGTGTAAGAGATTGAATATTTCTTAGAATGTGGTGAGAGACATTAGCAAACATAAGGAAATCCAGAAACAAAAGGAGGTTCAGAAACTGCAAGCAATGGGTACATATTAATTCACTGGTGATCCTGAGCCGAATATTCTCTTTCTTTAAATAACTTCGTAACACTAATGCGGTGAAAAGCGGGCAATCCTTCAAAAAAAGCATAAAGCATTCATCGAAATAGCGAAGGAATTTAATCACAATATCAGGCTCTTCACTGTCTATAAGCCGGTCAACTTTATTCAGAGTAGTATCCATCAAAACAGGTGCAACCCTTTATCCAGCACATACACCAGACCTTCGCATGAACTGCTTTCTTTTCGAAGTTAAAAAGTTGGACTGTAGGGAAAAGCTCAAAAGTTCCAGAGAAGACTCAACAGAAACTAGGCTACTAATAAAAAATACCACTTCATCGTTACTGTCAGTGATGCGAAATTTCACAAATATGATAAACTAATCGTGCGGCAGACAATTAAACAAATGTTCCGCATGGAGAATAACCGATTCGCAATGATTTGTACTATTGCTCGCTAAAGAATCCACAGCAACGCATGAATGAAACACTCGGGAGATATGCATGGCATGCAGTGTAAAAAGCTGCTTTAGCAGGTACCCAAGTAATGCAGAATGTTACCCCAACGTTGATTGAAAGCACCCATATGTCAGCCAGGGAAGTTACCTGAAAGCGCTCAATATCCACGTTTTTCATGACGTGATAACGTTACTTGTAACATTCAGCATGATAGGGCAAGATTTTGGATCACATTTTCATGATCATGGCAATGTTTTCGCAACATGCGAGCAACATGGCGTCAACACTACTGAGTGACGTGTTGACTTTCATACGACGTGCGCAAAAGATACATACTACTATCTGTGCGTTAATATTAAAAGGCACCTTGGCCTGTTATGACAGCTGCCTTGAAGCTTTTGGCCAGGAGAAAATACCAGGCCTGCGGGGAAGGCGTAGCACAGTCACTGCGAAAACTAGCAGAGCGGCCTTTCGAGCCTTTTCTAAGCACTCATATGATAACTACGGCATTCAAATCAAATCAAATCAAAGTTTATTTACATCCTGAAGATGTGGGCAAGCTTGGGCGAAAAGCGAAACAATTCGCTTGAGGAAAGCCCAAGCCCCAATATACGAGGCATAGCAGTAGAGACACACAAAGATGTGAAAACACTATCAGAAAACAAACTAGCGCGTTACATACATGAAAAAAAAATACTAACGCAGATACTTTCACGGAATCATACCAGCGCGTTACAACAATGATACAGGGTTCATGCTACAGGGTTCATGCTACATGATACAGGGTTCATGTTTATGCCGATAGTCAATCGATAGAGATAATGATTTGACCGAACAATTTATTCAAAAACATCAGGCAAACATCAAACAAACAAAAGCAATGCAAATATATCTCTCTTCATACAGTACAGAATTTTTTTTTTACGGTGATTGGTTACAGGAAGTGTTTTTTAATATGACTTATACTGCGTTTCTCTACTTCTATTTCGCTTCTGAGGAGAGTATTTAGCAAGTGAGGCAAACAATACTGTAACATTTGTCGTCCGTATTCAGTTCGGCAGAAGGGGATGTTCCAGATGTCTTGTTTGCGGAGAGAATAAAAAGGAACATTTCCTCTTAGATTACCAAGATTTAGAAGGTCATGCTGATTTTTATAAACAGCCTTTTTATATCTAATAGCTAGTTTCCAATCATAAAATTTTTCTATGGGTACAACGTTAAAACGCTGAAACAAATCCTTTGTGTGCGCATGATATTCAACGTTAGCTATGGACCGAAGAGCCCTTTTTTGTAACATTAATATTCTATGGTTATTTCTCTGTGCGGAATTTCCCCACACCAAAAAACAATAATTTATTTGAGATAAAAAAAGCGTGTTGTACAGCATGAGTTTTATCGATACAGGAAGAATGTGTCGAAATTTTGCAATAGCACCCACACTTTTAGCCACGTGAGATTGAACGTGGTCGAAATGATCGTCCCAGGACATAATTTTTTGAAACAGCACACCTAAAATTTTTATTGAGTTCACAAATTCTATAGGCGCCGTGCCTAAAAATAAGGAACTATCAATGGTGACTGAAAGCTGACGCGGATGAAAAAGAACGGCCTTTGTTTTTTTATCATTGATCAACAGCGAGTTTTCTTTACTCCACTTTTGTATGTCTTCAAGGGCGTTATTTATTTCAGGTGCTAAAATTTGCAAATTTTTTCCAGTGAAAAATAGGCTAGTGTCATCAGCGTAAATTACATAAGTTGGTGTTTTGTTGATAGTGTTTATATCGTTTATGTAAAGGATGAACAATAAAGGACCCAATATGCTTCCTTGCGGAACGCCAGTGACTACCTGCTGTAACGATGAAACGGCCGTTCCTATGCTGACGCATTGAAACCTATGCTTCAAGTAGGATTTTATCAAAAGCAGTGGCACACCGCGAATACCATATAGTTGCAGTTTTTCTAACAAGGTTGCATGCTGAATCCGGTCAAAGGCCTTAGAAAAATCTATGTAAATGCCTACACATATCTGTTTTAATTCAAAAGCCTTAAGAATGATTTCCTTCTGGGTTAGTAGTGAAGATTCAGTAGATTTGCCGTGGAGAAAGCCATGCTGAGACTCATTAAGTAGATTGAAAGCGTGACTAAATTTTTTATGAATGAAATGTTTATGAATAATCTTCTCAAGGCCCTTTGAAAATATAGGCAATACAGAAATCGGCCTGCAATTCGACAACTCATTCCTATCGCCCTTTTTGTGCAGGACACTAACTTTAGAGATCTGCATCATTTTCGGAAAACAGCCTGTTGCTATTGCAAGGTTGTATATGTGGGCAAGCAAAGGAGCAATGACGTCAAGCACAAACTTTACCGGCTTGATCTGTATATCGTCAATATCCCTAGCTCTGCTGTTTTTGAAAGACGCATAAATATCTCGCACCTCGTGTTCATCCGTTGGCTCTAAATAAATACTGTGCTTATTTTCCTGAATACCATAGGTTGCAGGAGGGATGCACTGTCCGATACTAACCGCATCCCGAAAGAACTTATTGAACGCTTCAGCAAGTTCTTTTCCGCATATGCGCTTACCGTTTATAACGAGATTATCGACAGTCGATGGCGGTTGCGTACGGTTTAACAGTTTATTTAGTTTTTTCCTTACATCTCCTGTTTGATTACAGTATTCCCTGCGGAACTGGTCATGCAGATATTTGTTCTTTTCACTTCTAAGGAAAGAGGTTAGTTTATTTCTATATTGCCTAAAGATATCAAAGTCAGTATCCAGTCTACTCTTAAGAAACTTTTCGAACAATCTCGTTTTTTGTTTAATTCTTTTTATGCATTCACGGTTTATTCATGGTTTACGACCTTTACCCTCTTTTATATTCTGCGTTATTAGGATAAAATGCTCATGGTAGATACGTTTAAAAATGGAAATAAATGCCTCGTAAGCTGCATCTGCAGTTTCACTATGTCTGACGTCTTCCCAGTCTTCTTTTCAAAGCTTTGAAATGAAAGCATGCAATGTTTCAGCGGTGATTTTCTGAGTTGTTATTTTAGCTTCTGCATCCTGCAGCTTATGTTTTACTGATGCTCTTGCGAGCATGTAAATGGGAAAGTGGTCGCTGATACCGGAGCACAAGGCTCCTGATATCACGTTTTCTGTGCTCATATTTGTGATAAACACGTCAAGCAATGATTCTGTGCAAGGAGTGACGCGCGTCGCAGTGTTTCCTAAAAGCGTATAGCCATTTGACTCGACAGTGCTGAGAAGGGCCGCTCGATTATGGGAAGGTTGCAATAGGTCTATGTTAATGTCACCCCCAAGTATTAATTTATATCTATTGCCATTTACATAGCCTAGCATCTTATCTAAATGACTGATGAAACAAGCCGAGTTTCCGTCTGGTGGTCTATATGCAACACAGAAAACTTGTTTGTGGGATAATATACATAAACACTCAATATCACTCGTAATGGTACAGGTTTCCGCAATAATTTCAAATTTTCGTTCGTTTTTTACTAAGATAGCCACGCCACCATCCTGACGTGTAGCTCTATTTATAAAAAAACTGCGATACCCGTTACGTTCGTATATGTTGCTGTTTGTGTCATACCAGGTCTCGGTTAAAATTATTATGTCAAACTGAAAATCCATAGCGTCTAAAAGGACCAATAATTCGTCCTCTTTATGCCTTGCCGAGCGAATATTCAAATGAAAACATGTGAGCATGACACCTGCATGAGATTTGAATAACTGATTGACGTCATGGGATGATTGAGCCATCTTGAAGACGAGATGAACACATAGAAATGGGTGGTGTGGATCACGCTATCTTTTCAACATCCTGCGCAGTGCGATTGCGCACTACCGGAGCGGATTCTTCCTTTCTGGCGAGAATCTTTCCGTTGCTCGTCCACACGAAACGCCAGTTCTGAGCCTTCTTTTTCGCAATTGCCATGCCAAGCAGGTGCTTCATGGCTGGGCTTAGGTGTTCGTTTATGAACACAGGCGTCCCTTGCGAGTGACCGAAATCTTCACTTGTTATGCGCATTTTCTTTGCCTTTTGAAGAACCATGTCCCGCTTAGAGCGGCTTTTAAATTGTGCAACAATGTTTGGAGTGTCCTTTACATTCTTCGAGACAACACGGTGGCAAACTTCGACGTCGCTTTCATCAACGGGGACATTCAAACGTTCTCCAACACGATGAAGAGTCTCGAGAAGCTTTTCATCACTCGATTGGGGTATGCCTTTAATTTCAATGTTTCGGTTGCGTGAGTACTGTTCCGACGCAGTGAGCCGCTGCTCATGTTCAGAGCTCTGTTTTTTCAGCATTTCACAATCTGCAGCTAGCTTCGCGTTTGCTTCTTTGAGCGCCTTATTTTCTTTGAGAAGTTCTATCTGTTCTTTCTTTGTTTTTTCAAGTT